CTGATAAAGTAGTAACTTCATTATCTCCAGGCAGAAAATGTACAATTTTACCCAACTTTCAGAACACCCCTTAAAACATAAGGTATCCCCACATCCCCTGATAGCCCTGATCTGGGTGACCAACATATCCAAAAAATGAAGATCCAGCGTTCATGTGTTTGGGACCGGTGTTTGGGAAGTCGAGTGTCCGATTTTAGTTCCAGACACTCGACGACCAAGTCCCGCTGCCTTTGTTCGCACAAACAAGATGGCCGCCATTTTCTCAGCCACGTGGCGCCGCACAGGGAGAGGGCTTAATTGAAGGTATGCTTTGAAGTTAACGAGCCGGGGGGGTGGTCTCTGTTCGGTATTTACAAATACCGAATTAAAAGAAAAGGAAATAAACTAAGGAACTTAGTGATTTCTTCACAACCAGGAACTAGAGTGTTGGGATCATGGAAATATATGTGTATATATAATTTTTTAAAATTACTTTATTTATTTATATATATATATATATATATATATATATTTTATTCTAAGTGTATTTTGATATCAATATATATTTAAATTATTTATTTTTATTATTTTTCATTAATGTATTTATATATTTATTTTATATTTTATTTATAATTATATATATATATATATTTAATTAATATCATTCTACGTGTATTTTGATATTAATATATATATATATAATTAGATATATATTGATATTAAAATACACTTAGACAGATGTGTATGTGTATATGTATATATACTAGACATGTGCAATTCGGTTCAGTCCGAATTTAAATGCTTCCAAATGTCCGAATTTCTGAAGTGCTGAAGTTCCTAAGTGCTTTGGATTTCTGAAAAGTGGCAAAACAGGAAAGGGAGGGAAAATTAAGGGAATGATGACAGGAATCTAACCTAACCCTACCCCTAAGCCTACTCCTAACCCTAGCCCTAAACCCATCCCTACCCCTACCCCCTAACCCCACCCCTAACCTTACCCCTAACCCTACCAGGGGTAAGGTTAGGTTTAGGGGTAGGGTTAGGAGCAGAGGAAGGTTGGGGTTAGGGTTGGGGTTAGGGGTGGGGTTAGGGGTAGGGTTAGGAGTAAGGTTAGGGAACTGCCGAATTCCCAAAGTCCTGAATTCCCAAACTGCCGAAGTGAACCGAAATGCCGAATTGCCGAAATACTGAATTTCGGAAGTGCCGAACCGAACCGAGGCGCCGAAGTCCCGAATTTCCAAAGTTCAAAATTTCTGAAGTCTGAATTGAACCAAATTTTTTGCCCATGCACATCCCTAATATATACTATATATAAAATCTAAGTATATATTATTTAATTTTAAACTGGTTTAAACTTTTTTTCAGGCAGGC